GCCGTCTCCACGTCGTGACTCACTATCGTGGGGCGTGCCGAGGCAGGCATACACTGGTGGGCATTTCAACGTGCCTCCTCGTTAGCTGAGCGGCACCGACGTGCCGTCTGACACCCCCCCCGGGGGGGCTTCCGGCCCCTCCCGCCTAGATTCTGACTGAAAAGCCCCTCCTGTCAGATATTACGGGCAAGAAAGACAAGGTGGACTTTCTGTGGAACGTGGCCTTTCTGCTTTCTCCATGTCTGGAGCATGTTGAGGGACACTGTCATTTCTTTTTTTCCCGCCTTTCTTGTTTTCATACTCCTAGTGTAATCCCTGGTCTGCCTGCCTTCCCCTTTCCTAAGGCCACGGTAATCAGGCTCCATCGAATGTTTCTTGAGGCTGGGATGTGCTTATGCCTGACGAATTACGCATATTCACCACTCCCACAGGCTCCCATCTGGGCATGTTCACTGCCTGACTTACTTAACTTTCCCCAAAAAGGAATTCTTTTCATCATTTTGATTTTAAATATCATTTCCTCTTTGCTGCTGCAGCACACGTTCCTGGCATTATAATAGACGGGCCCCTTTTCATCAGGAACGCCAAGCAGGAGCTGGAAGAGAAGACATCTCTGGCGTCAGTGAAATGACCTTTGTGACACGCTCCATCCCTGTGCTTTTCAGTATGTTATAGGCTGATGAAGACTTGCTTAGTTGTCATGATGGAATTACCGAAATGCATATTCCTGGAGCGCTTTACATGAAGGTATAAAATCTGCAGACGCCTGTCAAGTTTCCCCCGAATGGTTGCGCAGGCGATTCCACTCACGAATGTAAGACAACCTTAAATCTCAGGTTTGATAAAAATGCCTTAGGTGGCTGGATGTCAGAGTGGGGGGAAAAATGGTGAAGGAAGTAAAATGCAGCATCTTTTCCGTATTCCATGCTTCTACTGCGAATCCGTGGGCGAAGGCAGTAATGAGAGCAGACTGAAAACGAGGGCAGAGAGGACAGGCGTGCGGGCGGGATTTCATACCGCCACGAGTCGCTGATGTTTTCTGGGAGATATCATCCCGGTGGTAATCTCTGGCAGAGTTGGTGGGGGGGGGGCAATTTTGGGGCGTCTCTCTGCAGCGTAGATTGCTGTGAGATTAGGAAATGGAATGATCCTTTATTTGCATAAGTACGGCTACACTGAAATGCTTCTGGTCAGATAACCTGTCTTGCTCTCCCTATAAGACACCTATGTGGGTGACAGCAAAGCTTGGGCTCTGAGCCCAGGGTCAGCCATTTATCTAGGGCCCCTGGAGCATTTTGGGGGGGTGGTACGGTTCGGGGCCTTGTCGAAAGGCCCCACAGACATGTGACTATTCTGGCTGAGCCAACCACCCCCCCATCCGAAAGGGCATGGAAAGGAAGGACACGGGGATTTTATTTGGAAATGGGTTCTATGAAATGGACAGGGTGCAATGAGAATCAATGAGAACCGTTTCTGCTTTAGGATCTGGGGAGAAAAGGAGGAAACTCTCCCCAGAAAATCCATGCCACCTCCATCATACAGTCGCTAACTTGGGTGATGAGTCTGACCGCGAGTCCTAGCGCTAGGAAAAAGGGGTTGGATCTACAGTAACACTGTTTCCTGCAGTAATTACTGACTTTTTTTTGCTGGGGGGGGGTGATTAGATTTACTGTGGGCCGGAGGCTTGGAAACAACATGTTTCACTGATTGTGTCTTGCCTAACGACTGTCTGTCTGGCGGGCTTAATTTTCGCCTCGGATGCAAACATGATGTCATGAGATTTTTGGGGCGAAATCATTTCCGAGCCGAGTTATCCAGCATGGTGGGCGCACTCATCCTCCTACTGTGCTGTGTACTGTGCAGCAAGGTTTTTTTTTTTTCTTTGGCTGTGAAGGGGTGAAGTTGCAGCATATCGGAATTTTGGCACGGAGGGTGCGGATGCAGAGAGGGCTCTCTGAAGGTCGTGATGTAATGATGGAGAGGCATGGGGAAATGACAGCTTCCTAGCAAGGCGTGTGGGGCCGCAAGCGAGACCAGGCCGGGCGGCACGCAGCTGCGGAGTCCGCTTTGTTTGCTGTGACTCAGCAGCCGAGAGGTATTCAGCTCTCCGCCATTCCGGAAATTTCTGCCTTCCCACTTCTCTGGATCGCTCTTTCTTGGATTCCCTTTGTACCAGCCAGATGTCAATCAGAACCAGCCAGATTTTCTGGGCAAGTCTTCCGCCCGGTCGTCCCACATTTTGCTTTAGTTGTCTCAGTGAAGGAAAGTATTCCGGCCACTAGTTATAAATGATTCATTAAAACCTGCGTTTGTTTGTCCAATTTTAATGAGGGAACAGTAGGGGTGAGCGACCGGCCTTGCATATTAGACTGATGATCACACCAGGCACCACCCACTGGAAGTGGAAACTGGAATCTCATTACATCAAATGCAATAGTTATTTTAGGGCGTACAGTCACAACATAGAGGTTGCAGATAGCTGGATTTGTGCAAGGTCGGAAACCTGTCGTTCATTGTTTTCCTGGTCTCTCTCAGGTCCTCTTGAGAGGCCATAGTAGCAGATATCAGTGTATGTGTGTGGCTGGTTCAGTTACCCTGCAGAGGATCACACAATATGTTGCTACTGCATTATGATCATCTCTGCTGCTGTAGACACTGGTATCTTTAATTCCTCTTCAAAATATGCCAAGTAAAGTGGACCATCACACGTGTGTGGCCCCCAGGTTATTGGAGGCTTGTCTCATTTGAAATGTAGGTATACTTGATTTGTTTTTCAGTGAAACATTGATTTCATCACATGAATATTGGATTCCGTCTTTGTCCAGTGATATCGTGGCCAGGAATGGCAGTTCGGAAGAATATCTTACAGGATTCATTAAAACATTGACAAATCATTGCATTGGATGGCCTCCTTGTCCAGAAATGAATTTGAGCCCTAGAGGGGGAAACAACCCCTCACTGCCATGGTCCTGGAGGAGGTGGGGGGATGGGGGGGGGGTGACAACATCATGGTGGTTAAAGAGACGGCCCTGGGAATGGGAGACTGAGGCTGGAGGAGAACTGCCCCGGGCTTGCGTGCAGTGATTTCCCCAAGCTGCCCAGCTAAGTTTCCAACTGTAATAAAAAGTGAAAAGTGGAGAAGTGTAAGATGGTACGGTGCAGGCCCTGTGTCGGGGGGCGGGTAGGCCAGATACGTGACCGGGCGAACAATGCGGCGTGGTGCGAGCACGGCCAGAGGGTCACTGATGTAATGTGCTGTGCTGATAAGGCGCTCTATTGTGATGTCGGCTGATGGGGGGTGGGGGGCCGGGGCTCTGAATGGACCCAGGAAGAGACCAGCAGTGGGTCTCCTTGGGGGTTCAGGAGGGGACAACTGATGAGTGCATCAGGGCTGTGAGGGGACAAGAAGGGACAACAGACAGGTCTATCAGATCCTTGGACAACCAGGTAAGCAATGGTGACTGGAGGGTGACCGTGTCAGGTAGGGTAAATTTACCTTTGAAGGGCAGGCCACTGCAGTTCTCTCTCTCCCATAACAACACCCCCCATAATGACAGTAGTCAACCTCCATCAACATCCATCCTGCAAGATGCAGTCATGTTGGGGGGGTCACACTCGCAAGGTCAATACGAATTGATTTGTGACCTCCGGGGGGCTGCCTAAAACCATAAACCCAACACAAGTCGGTAGAAAGCAGGGGGCTTCAGCTGACTCAAGCTCAGAGACGGGGGCGGCCATCTTGTTTGCCTGACAGAGGATCACCGCATCGATCCGCAGTTTCATTTCTGAAAAGCTCCCTGAGTTTGGCCCTGTGTTCTCCTGAAGCCGAAGTCAAGTTTGACGTTCCGTTATTATATAAAAGCAAGGTCGATTTATTATTCAAAGATGAAAAGCGAAATAAAAGCCTTTCGCATGAGAATGAAAAAGCCATTTGAAAAATCAATAAGACTTGGCATGTCGCTAAATGATTCTTGATTTTAAAATGCAAATCTGCAAGAGAGGCAGTAAATTCAATTTTCAGTGTAAATGAGAAGAAATTAAGAGAATGAGATACAGCTAGACTGAGGAAATGCTGGCGTGAAAGTTCAACTGATAAACAGAGCGAATAAGTCCCTGCGTGCGATGGCCAGGCGGTGACTCTCTGTCTGGTGAGGGCCCCGGGGCTGCGTTTCCCCGTGTGACTACAGTAATTGGGTCACATGATGGAGGGCCCAGCAGAGAGGAGTGCGGTACTGGGTTCACTGGGAATCCTCACCAAGCAGGGAATATGTCCCGTGGGAGTTTATGCCCGTGGAATTATGGATCTGTCACAGATCGGATGAGAAGTGCTAAGCCCTTCTCCCACACACTGGAAAAAAAGGAGAGAGGAATCCCAGCGGGATAGACATCCAGGCACTAGAGCGCATTCTGATCACGCGGAGTGGGGCAGGAATCGTGAGTGAATACAAGCTGATTAGAGGAAGACGGGGAAAAGTGCAGAGGATAATTTGAATGCTGCCCCTACTGGAGATTTTCCGAAGAATTTACAAATTTTTCCAATTTCCTAGCAGTTGATTTTGCTTCCCTAACTTTACCTTTTACCCAAAGGGAATTTGACCTCATTAGCTAGATATTCTCTGCCAGGTGTCTTTTCCTAAGGTACGACAACAGTTTCTGGGATTCAAACCAGAAAGCCTTTGGTCATTTCGTAGGTTAGAAGTCATCTAAGAAGATTCATATTGTCACACGTGCCCCCAGGTCACAATATCACAGAAAATCAAGTGTCTTGGTAGAACAGTCCACTGATCTACCTCGAAAACAGTGTCAGATTTTTCTAATTTTCTAGAAAGATGCACAAGATCCTTCAGTTTTTTTACTGTGATACCAGGCCTTTCTCTCATAAGAGCAGAGCACAGATTTCGACAGTCGGTAAACGGTTTGAGACGTATGTTTGGTGTCCCAGGAATAACTGGGTTAACAGAAAACCAGCCAGGCAATAAGGATACCAGAAACTCTTCATCTTGACAAACAACTTTATTTCTGGTAATGCATCTATACACTGTACATTCAGTCACTGTGGTATATAAGCATAGCTATTTTCAAACATAATCTCATAAAGTCCTTTACTTTACAATATAGTCCGTGTTGTGGGGAGGGGTGGCGGGGTCAGGGGTTTGGGGGGTAGCGGTGTTTGTTGGCAGTAGGGGTGCGGAAAAGGAGTTAAAAAGACAAGGTGGGGGGGCAGAATAGATAAGCAAAGCCTTTGTGTTTTCATACTGTATACTCGGTATTAATAAACGGGAAAGCGTACATTTATGTCTTACATAAAAATAGTCCTAGAGTTGTAAAGTTTACATAGTATTAGCAGCAGCGTAGGGCTAGAAAAGGTACATGGGGGTGGGGTAGGGGGGCGTGACAACAACTCCGCTGGGGAAGGTTGGGCGCACTCAGTTCAGCCTCCCGCGTGACCATCCTTTACTAAAGGTGCATCATTCAGCAATTCATATCATGTTAAAAAATATATATGGACTGGTGAAAAAAGTCATACAATAAAAAGATTCTACAAAAAAAGATGCAAAATGAAGGGGCATAAACTACGTGTTTATGGAGGGAAACTCCTCTAGCACTGCAGTCGTTATTTTTGAAACATTTTCTCCGTTAAAACACAACTCGTAAAACAAGACAGCTATTCTGTAAGAAAAGATTTCTTTCTGAAAAAGGAAACACCATATACATTTATAATACAACATTGTAAAATGAAAAAAAAAATATTTACACGTGTAAATATGTATTCATTCATTTTTTACACTGGCTAGTTTCATTGACGTGTACTGTTATTGCTGTTGTACGGTTTTTCCATTTAAAAAAGGTTCTTTTTATAAAATACGTTTGTTTCAACTGTCTGATAGATAGTTTAGATGGGGTAGGGGAGACAGGCAGGTATCGACATCATCCCCCTTTAATGTAAGAAAACACGAAAAGGGAGACTACAGGTATGTATTAGTGTAGAAGGACTGTGTTTTACTGCCGATATGCAATTGGTGGTCTGCAGAAGTTAGAGGCGCCTTGTCAGTCTTTCGGTAACAGTGCCTTTTTGTACTGTGGTTTAACACACGGCGGTTTGATATAAGGCTCTCTGCTTATTCTGAAAGGTCCACTGCGCGGTGATTGGACGCGACTCACATGACAGGCCTCCCTTATCTCTAGCCGAGAAGCCTTTATATCTTACATCGATATGATTAAAGTCCATTATTTCTGAGGCAAAAAAATGTATGTTGCATCAATATCACAAAATCGATCCAATCTGTTGATGCAAAATTGTTCAGATTATATTTTGCATCAGCAGAGCCTGGTTTTAAAAAAGTGAATGTTTAGGAATACTGTGAGGGGGCGTAGCCTGTGACAAGGTCAGATAGTCATGCGTCACCAGGGACAACATGCAGACTCCCAACTGGGGTACCGCGAGGACATGGTCCCAGCTAGCCTGCCTCGCGCCATGGCAACCCACGACATGTGACTCAGCAACAAAACAACTAGACGCCTTTGTTGATCTTACTCTGGAAACCCTAAACCCAGATCCAGGGTCGAGGTTGTCCAGGATATGTACATGAACTCGCCTGGGTTCTACATGTGTCTGCACGTGTGTTCCTGTTTGCTCCTTGTGGGTACATGTCTGAAATGTAAATGAGGCTTAGTTTCCTTTAAAAATGAAAAAAAAAAAATAATAATAATAAGATACAGATTTTTTAAAGACAAGTTTGCCGTATATTGCATAACACAAAACCCTTACATATACAGTATTAATGCCCAATAATGAATAATATGTATGGCAGACTTTTCTCAAATTTCATGCATATGAAAGAAAATATATAAGAGTTTGCTATTGAAAAGGAAAACATAAGACAAGCAATAAAAATATCCACACATTAAAAACAAGAACAACAACAAATACAACAACAAAAGGAAAACAGCATCAACACAACATACATTCCGATTGCTCTGTATTCACTGTCTATCTGGAGCAGTTATAAAATGTTATGTTCTAGATAATTCGGTGAGCAGAATGTTTTCCAGGATTCCCGTCTTCTGTTTCCCGATTCTTGCTGCCCTGCATTATTTACGACTTAAAAACCATCCGATCGATGAATACCACAATTTTAGGAGAGCGCGGCGCCAATAGCCATAGACAAGTCCTCTTCCTGCTCGCCAAATTGTACTTTTTTATTTTAATGAAAAGAAACAAAATAAACTGTGATATAAATGATATTGATAATATTAATAATAGCAATAATTATTCTCGCGGTACAGTAATAAACACAAACTTAGACATTTACAAAATCAAGTTGTCCACGGGATCCAAATATCACACCCAGACTGGGCTGCTCTAAGCAAGCAAGCATATAGACATGTTTTTGTTGCATTTTTATTTACAGTATTTAGCCCATGAACACGTAATTACATGGTATTTAAATTAGTTACATTTGGATGAAGAAATTAACTGTTTTTTGTTGCTGTTGTAATAATCATGTTTCAATTTTCCATAAGAGAAGGTCAAGAGGATGAGTGAAAATATTCTGCAGTATAACCTTTCCTTGGGTTTACAAAGTGCGATTCATATTGTAAAAAAAAAAAAAAAAAAAAATTATATTTACATCCGAAAATAAAAAAGAACAATCTGTGGGTCTTACTATAGGCGCAGCATCCAACCCTAAAATCATAGTATTTTTTAAAAAACACGACTTTTTGTGACTGCAGCGAGCAGCAAGTCCTACTTTCACCAGCCGCCTCTGGGAACTCGATACCGACTGTTTACCGCGAGTCTGATGGGCGCGAGCAGGAGGGGCGCCATCGCGGACCTGCTCTATGGCCTCTGTGCACGCGCGCGCGCGTCTGTGTGGGAGCGTGTGCATGGCTGTCTGTGTGTGTGGGTTATGCGTAGGGGGTACTGTTCATACCTAAAGCAAGTGCTCTTTCTCAAGGGGTGCCCGGTACACAAAACTCCCCCCATCCCCACCCAAAATAAACCGTGTCCGTTTTTATCCCTTTTCTCTCTTGTAAACCTTCCGCGTCGCCTCTATCCATCGACGACGAACAGAAAAGAATTGAGAGCCGGTTCCTTTTCCCCGCGGTTCACGATGGCTTCTTCATCTACACCAACAGCTGAACAGAAGATGGTGGCACTAGTGGGAAACTTTGTCCTGCTTGTTGCTTGCCAAGTTTTTTTTTTTTTTTTTTTTAATCCGTTTTTTTTCTTTGACGCTCCATCCACACAAAAGAAGATGATTTTCTTTATACACTCAAGTCTCACAATGCAGTGTCTTAAATAGCTTATTACAAAATTAATTCCTCAAATGTCTTCAGAAAGAAAAAAAAAAAAACACACTCAATGTGGCCTCGCTGGGAGCCCCGCCTCCCTCGTGTCCTCAGGCCGCCGCCCCCACAAGCTCCTCCCCCACATTCTTGCCCCGTCTGTTTTCAATCCATATTATAACATTTCCATACTGTAGTATTATCATATTTTAAAATCTTTATCATAGAAAAGTCTGTATCCAAATTATTATTTTTTTCCTTTAGAATGTCTTTTGTATTCAGGGAAAATACAGGCACAACAAATTTCTTGTGCTATATATTTTTTTTTATCAATATTTACGTGTATTCTTTTTCCTTGAATGAGAGGTGCGTTTCAGTGCTTATGTTAGTAACACATTTCCCACCCGGTAAATTTACAGTCCTCCGGTTTCCTGTTCCTTTTGTCCGCAGGATCCTTTTCCGCTATACGTGTGGCCCAGCCCGCTTCAATGTGAGTCGGCCCGTCCTCCTTTCCGTCCCCGTCCCCCCCCCCACCAGCTCCAGCCTTCAGTTCTGGGGGTCCTTGGGGCCCAGCTGCTCCTGCAGTTCCTTGACCACCTTCTCCAGGTGCTTGCGGGCCTCACGCTCGTGCAGCAGATCTGCCCGCAGCTGCTCGCGGTCCGCCTCCGCGTGCTGCAGTTTCAGCTGCAGCTCCTCGATCTGGGAATGAACGGGAGGGGTTAATGGTAGTGTCATGCCGGGGAATGGGGGGTGGGGGTGGGTATGGGCGAACACACCTCACAATTATACACAGTATCCTTTTCAGGTTGTTTTTTTGCTATCTGTATATATGTTAAATATACATAGCGATATTTAAAGAAACAGCATAGTTTGTGCTGTATGAAACATATAAGAAGCAAAAATATCGATATGCTCTCTTCAACAAATCTTTCCTATAATACATCCCATCATCCTAAACAGCCATATTACGCGTAAAAATGCTTATGGCGCTCGTTGCATGTTACTGATGAGCCCTAAACGTTTATTATTTTAGAAATGGGTGTCTCAATGCTCGCTGTCACCGCTGCTGTCACACCTCGCTGCAATGCCACTGCAGAGTATTCTGGCCCCCACCACCGCCCCCGCCCCACACTTCCTCCCACAGTGGACTAAAAGGGACAGTCTGGAGACAGGCTTCAGTGACCCGTGACGTGCCGGCCACCGTCATCCAATATAGACAATAAATAAATACATTTTGACGTGAAGGATAAATAAATAGCGAAGTGGGAAGTAAGTTTTCGGCAGGAGACGGCCGCCGAGACGTGACCGAGGGGCGTCACACCCACTTCACTTGTTTTGTCTGGTCCCCGTTCCCTGTCATGCCTGGGAGGAAGTTCACTTCACTTCCTGTTTCCCCGTTGAGGTAGCACTTATCTAACATCTGTGGTCAGGGCTACACCCATTTCTTATACAACACCGTAAGTGAAAAAGAATTCTGGTAAAAGATCAAAAAAAAAAAAAAAAAAGTGAAAAAATACTTTAAAGCTATTTTATGAGCCAGAAAAACTGCAGTGTAGGTAAAAAAATAAATAAATTCTTTTCTTCATATGGTTACTATATGTCACCCTGGATGTTAATGAGCTGGTTTGCTGCACATGGGGTGGCGCCTATGGAGGTTCTTGTATGTTGTTATGTTTGTGTCATGTGTAAACGCGCACATGCATTCAGACGCGGCCGCACGTTGAAATGCGCCCACCTGCGCAGAGTACTTGGCGCGCAGCCGGCCGGCCTCGCAGCCCTTGTCGCAGACGCGCAGCTGCCGGGCCTGTTCAAGCTCCCTCTTCAGCCGCGCCCGCGACTCCGCCGCCTCCTTCATCTTCTTCTCGCTGTCGGCGCGCAGACGCTCGATCTCCTTCCGCAGGTTGCGCTTGGCCTCCGTGGCCTCCCGCAGCTTCTCCTTCTTGGCCACCCGCAGGAACTCCAGCTCCTGGTCACGGGGAGACACCTCAGAGTCATCGAGTGTCATCACCCCGTCCTCCCAGCTGAAAACGCCCCCAGTTCAGGTGCTGATCTGCTCTGCCTGTTGACTCTCATCTCCAGGTAGTATTGGTGGAGATGGGTGACGAGTTTTTTCTCTTTTCCGTTCCGAAAGGGTTAAAGTTATGAGAAATGAGTCGACTCTAAACAGAAACTGAGTGCGCTTCCCTACTGAAACCGAGCGACTAACAGCCAGCCTCCGTTTGGTGACACTCGTGGCTTTGCTCATGGGAAATCCTCTAACAGGGTGAGCATCTCAGTCTGATCAGTCCCTCTTTCCTCTTTCCTAAGTCTCTCTTCTCCTGCTGCTACTTGCCTGTGGTCTAAGCTGTGCCCCCCCCCCCATCCACCCACCCACCCACCACCAGCACCAGTGGTTTGAACTTTAACACTCCACGTTAACCAGATGCTGATTCATCACTGGCTGGGGGTGGTAGACTTTTTAGAAATAAGGTGTCTGGTGGGATCTTGCTATTTGAGTACCCCCAGCATTATTCGAGTGTCTGTCTTTTTCTCTTTTTTAATTTTTAATCAAGGCTTAATGCCCCCCCTGCCACCGCGCACCTGCTGAAGGCTCCGCTTGGCCTGCAGGGCCGAACCCAGCTTCTCCTCCTGCTTCACCCTCATCTTGATGATCTCGTGGAGAAACTTCTCCTTGGCCTCCCGGGATTCCAGGCCTCCATCCAGGGCCTGGCGGAGCGCCTCCAGCTCCGACTCCAGGGCTGGCCCGTGGTTCTCTGGAAGGGGGGCGGGGGCCTGCGTGCCCGGGGAGCTCAGGTCCTTGGCGGAGCTCGAGGAGGTGAAGGAGGGGGAGGACAGGGATGACAGGGAGGAGGTAACTGAAAAGAAGAATAGGAGAAGCTCACTGACGGGAAGAAGGCAGGGGCGGTTTGTGTAGCCCGTCTGAATTACAGGTTACGGTGATGGACGCCTCTGCAAGCGGGTCCATCCAGAAACCGACAAACCGTCACATTTCCTTGAGACTCTAGTCATTAGGGGGCAAACAAGCACTTGGATTCCTGGTGCTGAAGCTGTTTTAACTGGAATGTACCATGTTGTAGCGATGGGTGGGGGACTCACATTCCTCACGGCTCTCCACCTCGATCTCCACCTCAGAGTCCTTGTCCTCCTGGGGGGCCCTGCCGGCTGATGCAGTCGCAGAGGCACTGGGGGGCTCGGAAGCCACCTGGCCGTCGCCCGTCGCCCTCCTCTTCCTGGACCGGCTGCCCGTAGCCTCAGCCTGTGCCTCCTCACCAGTACAGTGGGAGGTGCTGGGAGTGGCCGGAGAGAGCTGGCCCGTCTTGTGCAGGGGGAGGGGTGTCAGGGCCACGTTGGGGGCCACGGAACTCTCCAGACTTTTGTAGTTGTAAAAGCTGAGGTGGACGCAGAGAGAGAGAGAGAGCTTCGGTCACCAGGGGCAGCGCGTCACACTCACGGATGCCCTTGCCAGCACAGCAGAAGTTCTAAATCGCCCATGTTTCCCCGTGAGCAGCGGCTGTTAGCCCGCAGCTCTACCTAGCGGCATTCGCCGAAATCACCCCCGGCAGCCGGCATCGCCGATCTCCAGAGCGCCATGTGTGCCGCCGTTCCAGCGGGAATCGGAGACACAGCCAAGCCCTAATCCGCTCATGACAGGCTTTTGGAATAAAGGGCTGGGCGTCTTTTTGGGGAACCCGACATCATTCCACGTACTGAAATAAGTCAGCCAATTTCCTTTGATTTACAGTGTTTTCCCTGAAGTCAGAACCGGTACAAATGTCGCTGGTATAAAGTAATATGAATAATAATAATAATAAAAAAAGAATCTTAGCTATCAGCTCAGCAGAATCTATCTTTATGGCAGGTGTCCTGCAGTATGAGCTAGTTAACCTGTAACTAGTTTGATCAGGGTGACCTGTATGTCAGGTTAACCCACCAGGTTATGGACAGATCTTGCCAGGTGTCTCTGGGCCACACGCCCAACTGTGACACCCAAGAAAATAAGAGCCTAAAGCCAACACGGTAACGAATACACACAGTCCGTGCGACATTTACCAGAAGGTCATGGGTTCACGTCCCACATCCCTTCACCCCGACCCTGCTGCCCTATCCTTGGGCTGCCGCTTTAACCCCGATGCATACTGGGCTGCCCCATGGGGGATTCTGAAAGCCCTGCCCCGATGGCGACCTGCTTCTTGACTTACCACTCGGGGAGGGGGGGTGTGAGGTCACTGCTCCCATCCCAAAAATAGACTCTTCTTGGAAGCTTGTTTTGTTTATGTAAACATCATTAAGTTTCATTTCACCAAGTGTTTTTCTTTTCTGACTGGTGCCCGCGGGGGACGCGAGGGCGCTGTACTCGCCGTACATGGTGCTAGAGCGGATCTTTTGGCGCGGACGCCGGCCACACGCACCTGTCCCGAAGTACTGCTGTCAGTCGGCTGGGCACCTCCTTCTCGCCGGAAGAGACGCTGGGGGACCATGGCCGGAAAGCGGACGGCCTCTGTCTGGGCTGGCAGAGACCCTGCAGGGGGTGGGCAGTGGCATCAGTTAACGTGTCATCAGCGCTTAATCAACACCTTTACGCGAACATTCTTTGTTCTGAATCTTTGGGAATCTGTCATGTTTAATCGATGTGTCTCATTATGGAAATCTCGTTATCGAAAGTTTATTAAAAATCAAAACAAAATTACGATTTGGGAAGGAGGTTATAAAATTCGATCCGGCCGATATTATATTAAAGAATGCCGAGGGTCCCCTTCTACTCGGCCTTATTGATTTCCTTTTCTTCTAGCAAGGTCACATTGCTCTGTTATTATCACAACTTCATCTGCCCACCTTATTTGCAGAGGCCGCGAGAGGCCGCAGCCAATCAGAAGGCTTCTCCTTATCAGCTGACGGAGAATGCGAGAAGTCCTCATGTTTCGACTTCTTGGCTGGGATGGAGTCTGGAGCCTGGAGGGAGAAAAAGGTTTCGTAAGTTCACAGGAGAAATATTTTAGCAGCAGAGTTTATAGGCAAGGGTAAGGCGGGGGGGTGTAGATGAGGCGCAGCCAGGTAGTTCCACGAGACACCTAGGATGTCTGTCTCTTATCAGTGCGAGCAAACTTGGCACGGGAGCCGGTCTCGAAATAGCGCTGAATTAAATATGAGTCCAGAAGTGTCATACACTCCCTCTCATTACACACACGTGTGTATAAATAGGACGCACATTAAAGATAATGGTGGAGGCAGGTGTTAGAGGGCAACTGTGCCTTACAGCCAGACATGCGAGAGAGTAACTGTGGAAGAGCCTATCCATAGAGAGAGTGTTTGGGGGGGGGGGGGGGGGGAGGCTTGAGAAGATATTTCAGTGTAATCTGTTCACAAGAACAACCCCCCCCCAACCCCCTGCCCCCCCAGGCGATCTTCCCCCCCAGCACCGCCACGCTGAAGGCAGAACCTTCATCTCGCTGACACGCTGACAGATTTAAGAGCGACTGACTGACTGGATGGGATGAGTCAGCCCAGCCGGCAGGAGGAGACAGGAGGTGAGGCCCGGAAGGTGTGGCAATACCAAGATTGGGGGGGTGCTTTGCCTGGGTGTAATTATGTAGTAAAATATCCATTAAGGGCTAATTCTTGGAGTACGACACCAAATGGCACGCTGGACTCTGTTCTGCTTCCCTGGGGGACACACCCCCCCCCCCATACTTTACACACACACCAGCACTGGAGGCTGGAGAGCACCCCCCCCTTGGCCAGTGCCGTGACCTGGCGGTGGCGGCGTGCATCGGCGGCCCGCGGCTCCCTGAAGCAGACAAGGGGGGGTCTGTGTGCTTGTTTATTGCGACGGGGCTGTGACTTCAGCCCCGCACAGCTGCACCGCCCTGCATGCCCCTGCCCCCCCGTGCCTTGCCGCTGTCCCCCCTCCCTCGGGGCAGTGAATGTGAACGTGGCGTTCCCTCTGCAATTCCATCCCCCCCCCATCACGTCTTCGCTTAGCGCTACGGCGAGAATCTCGGGTCAGTAGAAGGTGAGCGTTGCCCCCCCCCCTCGACCACAGTTGAGTAACATCAGCGCCTCGCTGATGACCGAGGAATCGCAGGCCTGGTTTTGCCGGGGCGGTGGTTGACTCGACCGCACCTTTATATATATCAGCCTGACCCACGTCTGGCGGATTGGGGTGCGGAACCCCCCCAGCCAGGCCTGCTCACGGTGACGCTAACGACCTCACTGTCTGCCGTCTCCCGAATAAGGCCCCCCTACACCCAAACGTACTCCCACGTCTGCTACTTTCGGGAAGGGCTCCCTGCAGCCATTTCCCAGGCTGGGAGCCGGGACGCCAGCGGCTATTGCTGAGTGGGGGCTCTTCTGACGGACCGGCATGGTGTGGATGGAGCGAATCTCACCACAGCCTGGACAGGAAGGGATTAACTGGGCGGCCCCCTTAGGATGCTGTCACAGACACAGACACTCATAGACACACACACACTCACAAACACACAGACACAGACACACACATGCCCCCCGGCACTGACCGAGTGACTCCAGCACAAAGGCATTTGGCAAGCTGCTGCCTATATTCCTCTCCGGGGGGGGTGTACAGGGTGGTGCATTGAGCTGTGAGGGAGGTTAGAGTAGGGCAGAAAAACTGCAACAGGTGTGGATGCCCTGCTACAGTGGGGGGGGGGGGGGGGGGGGGGACGGGACGAACAGGACCATTTTGGGGAGCCGGAGGGCCGGCCTACCACTCACAGGACCGTGATACAGCGGCTGCAGGGTGTGCTAGCCACTCCATCACACAGAACACTTTGGTACACTCACACAGAACACTCACACGGAATGCACCGGAACAATCACATGGAACACTCCAGTACACTCACATGGCACCATGAAACACTACAGTACACTCGCACAGAACACTGCGGTACACTCACACGGAACGCTGCGGTACACTCACACGGAACGCTGCGGTACACTCACACGGAACACTGCGGTACACTCACACGGAACGCTCCGGTACACTCACACGGAACGCTCCGGTACACTCACACGGAACACTCCACAACACGGCTAATTAGCCCTGAAAGGCAGCGACAGCGGGGCAGGGTGACAGAGGCCAGCCGGCCGGGGACCGCACATGGGCTTTAACCCCCTTCCCCCCCCACCATGTGCTGCTCTCCGCTGGCGGATTACACGACTCCGGTCTGGCAAATCTGCCAGGAATCTGAAATCATGGGATCAGGGGTTAGAAGTTTTACAGCTGCAATGGGGCAGGGGGGGGGGGGGGTTGGTGATTCTGCAAATATGCGGGCGTGGCCAGAAGGCTGCATCAGTCAGTCTCATAAGCAGTGTACTTTATCAGCCCGCCTTACCCCCGTCAGGTCTCCTCGTGCTCGTTTCCGGCTGGGGGGCGGGGGCTGGGCTTGTACTTGACAGGATGTGAAAAGCGCCAGTCAGACCCCGGAACCTGAATATCGGAAGTGAAACGTGCCGAGAGTGTTGGGGGACAGACAGTCCCAGCATGTTGGGCGCAAGGCGTTGCTTTCTGTCTGAGAGACCGGCACCCCTCCCTCCCCACCCCACCCCCCCTTCAACACCACGATAAGGCGATTCATTGCAACACAGCAATGTGCTGGCTGGGACAGACGCATTACGCTGACCCCTGCAGGCCGGATGTTGCACCTTCAGATAATGGGCTCTGGGTTTGCTCGCTAAGAGCCATGCTCAGACTACAGCTTGGACGCCGCATTCAGGCCCATGCTGAGACCCTGGCTGTTTCTGAAAACTCTGCTCTGTCACCCTTGTGCACACTCCGTTCTAGCACCAGCCTAGCCCTGCCTCCCCCCCCCCCCCCCCAAGCCACCCTCGCAGACGGATGTGTGAGAGGGCAGGGCGTGCTGCTGTTATCTAGAGACGTTCTGAGAAGGCGTCCCTCGTCGGTGTGAAACCAGCCTCAAAGTTCAACTACACTTCCCTCTGCACCACCGCCCCCCCTCCCGCCGCACCCTGCCCGAATCACACAGCGCGAGTTACTTCGCCTTCGCAGATTTACCATTAACCGAGGTGGTTTGAGGTGTGCAGCAGCTACTGGATTGCATGTTTAATGGGTTTCCATCATGGCCTTTCCGACAGGACAGAACAGCAGAGCTGCACCGACATACAGGCCGGTGGGCGTGTCTGAAGCATTGCACCCCCCCCCCCCCCGCCTTGTCTCCTGTGTCCTGGGTACCAGGTCCGTCCCCAAATGAAAAGCCAGAGACCAGCACACAGAATGGGCCAGATATCCAGTGCCAGTGGTTGACGCAGAAGCGGTCTCTCAGACCACCGACCACCAGCACCTGCCCCCCTCCATCACCACCTGCCCCCCTCCCTCACCGCCTGCCCCCCTCCCTCACCGCCTGCCCCCCTCCCTCACCCCCTGCCGCACCATGTGCCGGACGTTCCCTCACTTCCTGTCACACGCGCTGTGGTGACTTCCTGCCATGGCGTGCCGAGCGCTGCCCTCTTCTGCAGCTGAGCCAAAGGTGACTATCTCATGTGTGTGTGTGTGTGTGTGTGTGTGTGTGTGTGTCATATGGCCAGGTGTGGCATTCACCACTGACACTACTGCTCCTGAATATCTGTGTGTGTGTGTGTGGGCATGTCCCCACAATGTGATAAAAACCTGTAATTTCAACGTTGTGGGGATATTTTTTTTCGGTCTCTGCAAAGAAAAACTCAATTGTATAAAAATCTGAGACTGCAATCAAAAAAACTAAAAATCAGAGGTCCGGAAAGTAAAAGTCCAGTCGAAGATTTTGTTTCAACCAACCATTTGAGTATAAAGAGTCACAGACAGAGAGGACTCAGCTGCTTGGCTGATCTTGGACTGGATTTTTACTTTCTGGGCCTGAAATTTCCACCTCTGCTAAAAATGTGAAAAGTCTTGTATTTTGTTTGGTTACTTATGGTTAAAGTTAGGTGTGGTTAGGGGTTCAGGTTGGGATGCCCACAAAGAGACACATAGATGTGTGAGTATGGGACGACCCACCCTTCTGGTGACCAGCATCCCCGCCCCACGACGAGGCCGGAAGGGAGGGTCTTCCTGCCGCCTTTACGGGGAGGTAAGGATGCTGGGCACGGCAGGCAGACAGCTTGCAGCTGAGCAGAGACCGCAGAGAACGCCCGTCTGCGCCCGGGCTGCTGTGCAGGTGTCAGACACCCCCCCCCCCCCCCCCCCGTCGTCCCTATGGCACGCGGACTAACAAGAAAATATATACTGTAATTGGCACTCCATGTCAAAAAGGTTGCCGACCCCTCCCACCCGTCTGTCCCTCCCATCACACCGCTCTGCCTGCCGCTTCTCGGCCTCGCTCGCTCACTTCCTGTCTCTCTACCTGGGTATCGAAGCAGAGTAGGAGGAGGAGCAGGAGGAGGAGGAGGTCGCCCAGTACTGAGCACCCCTGATACCCGGCCGCCTCCCCGGGGGAGGCGCGGAGGTCGCCGTGGGCCAGCACTCCGTTGGTATGGAAACAGGCGCTTAGCGATCAGTCATTTTTTTTAATGGCGAATGCTAGCGCATTAACGAGTACTGGGCCGCCGGCCACGTTAATGGTGCTGAGAGCTCATTTGGGGACCGCGCTGCATTTCGCTGTGCACCTCTGCTCTCCATCCCATAATTATTGCATGAAAGTGCATATCACTTGGGTGCTGGGTTTACTCACATTTACAGGTTGTTCCCTGCCTGGTGTCCTAGGCTCCTTGGGATGGATGGATGGATGGATGGATTGATTGATTGATTGATTGATATTTTTGCCCCTGGCTACATTGATAGAGGCAGTACAGATCCAGGCTGTGCTTCCTTCCCGTCCTGCTGGGTGGTGCATTATCAGCCCGACACCGAATATGACACCTGTCATCCAGACCTGGCCAAGCCCAGCTGCCCCCCCATTACAAATGAGCCAACACGACAGCCAATGAGGAACAGGAAC